AGTCTTGTCTGTGGAAGGAGCTGCCAAAGACGCTGGAAGAGCTGCGGAGGCCCCTTGCACTGGGTCGAGGAATGCTTGAAGATAGGAGCGTAGTCCTTCGCTCAGATTTCAAGAGGTATTTGCTCGAGAAGTACGGATCCCTCGAGGCGGCCTGGAGACGAGGCCGCAAAGCGGAGACGAGCCCCTTCAACAATGCGTCTCCTCCCAACACAGAAATCTGAATCCTTTTTGCTCGGCTCAAGTCGGGTTTCAAGTTTCAATTCCCAGCCCTGACCCAAGTTCAGACTCCGAGCCGCACTCGCAACAGACCCCACAACAACAAAAGCAGAGACGCATGGTTCCCCCGATGTTTCTTCGACTCTCTTCGCTTTGTGTCGCTTGCAGCCATGGGAACTCCCTCCCTGGATGGCATTAGGCTGAGGCAAGCTGTGTGTTGTGGCTCGCTTGCATGAACGAGTCGGTGCCTTTGCGTGAATTTTGCCATTATTGGAAGGGAGCCGCCCTGCACAAGCTCCCACGGAGGACAGGCTATTTTTGCAGCAAGCTGTGCCAGAGCCAGTGATTGGCATTTCTTGGGCGCCCAGATTTCGTCGCTGATGGCGCAGACGATGCGGGTCCGTCCCGCGCGTGGCCGAATGCCATCTTTGATGAGGAGTCTTCTTTTGGTGGGCTTCTGTGCTTGAGCAGTCCTGAAGATGCCCAGGCGTTTGCAGTCTGGCGCATCCAATTGCAAATCGCAGGTGCCAAACTCTTGAAGCGCTGGCCACCTTCAAAATCACCCACGCAGGTCTTAATGTAGAAAGAAGCCTGCGCCCAAAGCCACCTTGTTGATTGAACTCCCAGCCTTTCTGAGAGTCTCCCACTGTAATCTAAGGCTGTCTGAGCTGCCCGTGATCGCCACGGGCCGGTTGGCAAAGTCTCTGCCAGTCAGTCCTCGGCCGCTTGGGTTCATCAGATGAGAGTGCAGGAACTTCGGATCTTGGAGCTCCTGACAGGGTTTAGGGTTTAGGTCTAGGCCGCTAGCCAGGGTCTTGGTCCAAGTCTTGCACTGTAGAGCAGCATTCTCGGCCTTGGAGGAAGCTGCAACCTAACACAGTTCACTACCTGTCAATGCCCAGGATGCAGCGTCGTTCTGCAGCGATGCTTCCCGAAGGCTGCCCACCGCGTCCTTGCAGTTACAGTAACTTCCACGGACTTCAGCCCGAAAAGACTGTGCCATACGCTCCTCCGAGTAGAGACGTTAAGAGTCCCAAGCTCTGTGATTCGACGAGCTACGTGGGATTGACGCAAGTTTGCAATGCAAGAGCGGGGATCATCGCATGTGTCAGATTGTGCTACAGTTTGTTCTTTCGGTGACAAAGCCCTGGCCCGCATAGCTTCAACCTACCAGCTCGTGCCTTGCACAGGGTCGTGCAAGACTACCACCTTGTGTCTCGCCGGCAGACGAAGAGATTTCTGCCATAGTGTCCCGTGAGCAGAGCAGGATCTGCCTTTCTCGTTCTTGAGTCACCCCAAATTGGCTCGCCTTGCCTTCCCAGGCGGCTCCGAAATCTCGCCGGCAAGGCCAAGTGGCCAAGTCAAAATGCTGTGATTTCCTTGATTTCGCCTCGCCGACTTGCACGGCAACGTGAGGGTGGGTGACCGTGTCTCTTCTTGCCAGGTCCTGCTGGAGACCCAGCTGGGCATCTCACCTGCTATGGCAATCCAACAGTAGGCCGTAGCTTTCCACCATGCTTTGAATTGGCAGGTACGCAATACGCATGTTGCAAGAGCTGTGGAGCACAGGGTGTCCTATAGCACTGAAAGTCTCAGCCCTTTCTCTCCTGGACTTAGGCTCCTGGCATGTAATGACGCTGCCGCTCAAGTATTTCATCTGTGGTCGACGCCACCTTAGCATTCCCGCAAATCATGTAGCCACGCCTGGTGCTTGCAGTTCGTCAGATGTTGGGAGCCCATTCCGTTGGGTCTTGCCTTCCACATCCCTTCGGTGATGGGGCGCCCCCTGTGCTCGGAGACGGTCCCCTCAGCACGGGTCGAGCCAGGTCTTGACTTCCGAGACGTCCGAAAGTTGTCAGGTTGAGGTCTTGCGAGGATTGTCGCGAGTTGCCATCGAAGCCCAATTGGTCATGGTGGCAAGGACTGCACTTGAAGCACAGCGACGTAGACGTCATCTTTGAAGATCATGTCCTTGGCCTGGAAGACAAGCTGAGAAGCCTGGCGGCATGGCTTTCAGGTGCTTTCAACAACACGGTGGAGGCTCAGACTCAGAGTGCAAATCCATAAGCCTAAGGTAAGCTGGTGATGCGGATCCCGCCTGACGGCATCGAGCTGTTGCTAATACGGTGACCCGCCGAAGCATGGCATGGTCTGTTTACGTCTCGGAAGACCGTGTTTCGCCCGGTCCTTTCACTCAGTTCTGATGCTTGAAGTCATTCCGTGTGTCTTGACGCTGGATGCGGAGATGCTCCAAAGGCGATCCGGCACAGACAGCGATGAGTATCCGTATGAGGAGGGCGGTCTCATGATGATGTACTCCGACGAGTTTGAAGACAACCTTTTGGAACACATAGGACAGCCCGGGATCCCCAAACTGTCTTGCTTCTTAACCTCGGATCGTTTTGCAAGGGTCAAAGTCGGGGCTGACTTCGATGATGTCTTGAAAAGTTGGAGGCCCTAACTACTCCTAGGTGGAAAAGGGCTTCTACAGGAAAGGAACTGGATCCGCAGTCAATCGGATGTCCAGCCCGGTAGAGCTTGGTTGATTGCATGCTCAGAAACTCAGTCAGATTGGCAAATGTTTCGCCTCAGTGTTCATGTGCTGTCCTGCAGGATACCCACCCCTCGTGCGACGGGGCGTGAGGCCGGGCAGTGGGAACTTGAAAGCGCTCAGAGCTCTCCTGCCCGACGTGTTCTCAGCTTCGGCTTCAGGATCAGCCTGAGAAGGGAATTGGGCAGCGCTGCAGGCTAGAGGCCAGGATCGTGGCCTCCGTCACTCAGAAGTTGAGAGGGATAAAGGGCTATACAGCTTAAATGTTTGCGAATGCTGGACTGTCAAACTGTAAGGACGTTAGCTAGTGATTGGATGAGACAAGGTGGGCGTGCGAACAATGCAGGAAGCATATTCAGTTGCTGTCGCCAGCGCTTGTGCACGTGAAGTTTGCAGAGACACACACTGGTAGTATAAACACACCAAGCGGGTAGGTCAGGTAGGTACCTCGGGAGGCGGGCGGAGGGGGGGGAGTAGCATATTATAGACACTTGTATGCAACATCCTCTTAGAGCTCAGTTTGGGAGGCGAAGGCCCGAGGCGAAGGTCGACCTTTGCTCCGCCTGGCTGGAAGAGTACCAAGAGCGAGCAAGAATTATGGTTTAGTGTTTGGGGTTTGGGGTTTAGGTGTTTAGTAGTTAGTAGTTTTAGGTTTTTTGGGGATTGAGGAGTTTATCAAAGTCTGTGGAGTGGTATGCAGCTACATGCATGATCATAATCAGGGTTTTGTTATAAGTTTTCTGTTGGAGTCTGCTTATCATCTAGTAGCCTATTAGCGCACTATTAGCACTTAGGCTTCGGCTGGCTCTTGCCACAAGTGGTTTCACGCTATGCAGAGGTGCGGAGCCCTTTGGAGCACAAATGTCGAGGAGTTACAAGCAGATGAAGCTCCACAATGGCTCAATGCCTGCTAAATGGCGGCTTATTCCCGGATGTGCAAAACAATCATGTCCATTCACCCAATTTCCACATTCAAGCAAAATACGTCGAATGGTGAATCTTGAACATATCCGGGAGTTTCGTAGTTGTTTCTTGCACAGTTCTCGTCTTTGACGTCGTAGGTGCGTCGCACTAGCCTCAGCTCACTGTGCGAGTATAGAGTGAGTTGGACTTGCACGGATGCTCTGGGCGTGCTCTGTCGCGCAGCACGTGAAAACCCTGTACAAAGCAAGATCAGGAGAGGCGTGCGCAGAGACACAAAAGCAGTTTTCCGTTAGCAGCAGCGCCAAGTGTCCCAACGCAGCGGTGCATGCAGACAGACGGGGCTTCCCTGAAAAAAACCGATCGTTTTGAAGGTGCGTCGACGGACTCTATGACGGAGGCCGGTTGCGGTGGAAACCTGTGCGAGCGACAGATAGAGAGAATGTGCCCCGGTGGCCGGCATTAACTTTCCCCTTTACTTCAGAAGGCTTCCAAACCAACCAGAAACAACCGCAAAAGAAGTGTTGCAAGGCGGATTTCGAGGCGACACTGAAAAAGTGGGAGCTGGAGGCCTGTGTGTTCCAAGTGTCGACTGGGCATGGCTGGCCGTCAGATTCTTCACTTGAAGTTATCAGGCATTCCGACTTCAAAACCCCTCTACATCTGCAAAAACTTCGCAGGAAGCTTCCACGAACTTCTGGCAGCAGCTGGACGTCCAGCGTTCAGGCGTTTGATTTCTGATCTTTCCACTCAGCACAGCTTCCAGATCACACCTTCCAAGCCTGATTGTTGTCAAGGCAGCTGTGAACACTGGCCCGCTAGCATGTAGAGCTGCACGACAGTCCGGAGGCGCAAGTGTTCCGTGAACAGGCTGCATCACGCTGCAACAGCTCGAAGCGGGCACCGTGGTCTGTCCGAGCTGAGCCGAGAAGGGAAGCGGGGGAAGCAGGGTGCCGTTGGACAGCGAGTCCTCTCTTACCGCATTTAGCGCCGGATCCCTGATGATTGCCGTGAATTCGATCCCACCGCGCCATGTCTCACCGAATCCCAGCCCATGCTGCATCCAAACGCAGTGATGCTGCTTCTCGGGTGATATCGTTCTCTTCAGTCTGTGAACGGTTCGGGGATACTTAGACGACTTAGCCCAATCTTGAATCCGAGAAACAGTCGCAGCAGCAGATGAGGCGTTTAAGGCCAAAGGTGGCCAGAATGCCCAAAGCTCCCTGTAGGGGAAGAGGCAAGAGGCGCCTTCTCGGCGGAAACTTGAGTGGTTTCGTGCTCGCACTGGAGCTATCCTCGCCCCCATGCGCAGGCAGGATGGACCTCTGGGCCTCGTCGGAACGAGGCGAGATCTGAGGAGAAACGCCCCAGCCTTTCGGGTTTTGAGGAGTCTGCATTTCTGCCTGAGGCTGCCGAGAGGTCTGAGCCTGTCAATCCGCCCCCGACCTCTTCGGCGAGCTCCAAGGTGGCTGGTCGGTGCATGGGTGCTTGTAAGCGCTGTCTCCAGATGCAGTGGGAAGGCGGCTTGTTCTGGTTTCCAGGCCGGCCAATGCCCAGGAAAAACTGGCCGCAGGCAAGCTGTGCCCGATAGCTTTGGTTGAGATCTGGGGGTCTGAATTCCACCGAATCCCTTAGCCTCGCGGACTTTGGACATCCAGGTGATTCATCAATAGTTAAGTCAAGGTCGGGAGGGAGGTCGGCTGGCACCCACACCTCAAGGGGCTTGCGTCATTGAACAGCTTTTGTGACCTTGTCAAGTATGCTGCAGGTTAGAAATGTGCTAGCCTGCTGCCGAATATGGTAAGCATCTTTGGTAGTCGGAAGACGGGGGCCAAACAACCTTCGAGACCGCACGTGAGAACAATTGGAAAAAGGTTGGTCTACACCCGGCAGCGCGGTTCGCTGCGGCCGCGGCCGCCGCCAGCGCGGCCGGAGAGGAGAAGCGGAGGCTTGAAGAGTGTAGGGGGTTTTGGAAGGATTTTGAGATGGAGGGTTTCATCCTGCATGGATTCTTCCTCGATGCTGTTTGCTATCATCAGATACCAGCAGTCTTGCTAAGGTCCGCGGTGCTCCAGGCCTCAGGCCGCCACGAAAGCAGGCCACGGTGTGGAATGTCGAGACCGGGTTCTTGTAGGGGTTGGTTGCACGTTTCAGGGAACGAATTGCACAGACCTTCGAAGTCTTGGCATGCCATGCTCTCAATACATTTGCATGTTTGCTGGCTTGTGACGGTGTGTCTTTGTCCGGCTCTCTTCTCGGCTGCAGCAGCTGAAGGGCAGCAGCATCAACAGTCGTGGTGGCAGTGATAGTAACGGGACTGGTTATCAGCTCACCTGCAGATTGTCATTATCGTCATCACAAGCACCATCATCATCATCATCAGCATCCAAGAATCCAACCTCCCTGTCGCAATGCCCAAGCTTCCCGATGGCACCTTTGCCTCGGGTGCGAAATGGTTCGCTTTGCGCGGCCGGCCGAAGAACCACACTGAGGTGGGAGCCGGAGATACGTCTCTGTTTTCAGACCTTTCCTGTTTATGCGTTTATGCCTCTGCCGTGCGCGTTCAGAGAAAGGCTGCGATGCGCGCGCGCGTACGTTGCTCCTGCACTGTTGTGGCATTGTCCTGGAGCTGGCCCGCTGGCCTCAGGAGTTCTGGGCCAAGTATGATGGCTTTGGCGGCGATGCCTTGGCCTTCCAGGCCGGAGCCGGCTCACGAACGTGTCTCGAACGTGGATGCCCCAGAGCCAGGAGAGCGAAACAGGCGTGACGGCGCTGCACCGGGCTGCGGCCTTCGGCTGGCCCCAGCAGGTGGGATGAGAGAGGCAGCGAAGTTTGGGCAGTGCCAGCCCCGGCAAAGGCGCAGTTTCTCCTGGCCCGAGATCCTGCATGCGTCGAAACCAGGCAGGTGCGTGAGGAATGGGCAAGCACAAACCCAAGTCGTTCATCGTAGTCTTGGCTGAGGACATCGGCAGGCCAGTCCGCCACAGAGGTCGCAGAGCGTGGGGTCTCCTGGAAAGTACGACAGGCTTGAAACGTGCGGTTTCTGAACACATGAGCTTGTGTTCTGTAGCTTGGGAGACATCGACTGCGTAGATTTATTGAGCTGCAATTCTTCCGGTGCCTGACGGTGTTCTGGAGGGTCCTCGCGACCCCACTCAAGTGGAAGAGGGGCCTGAACTCGACTCCCAAACCGAAACCCCATGAATTCCAGATCGAAGACGCCGAGCCCCTTCGTCCTGGGCTTAGGCGCCGTGGCCTGGTGCCGAGAGGAGGGTCGCTCGAATGAGGAGCTCCAGAAGCATCAGGAGGCCCAGCCCATTCCCTTTGGCCTCCTGTGCTTTGAAAATGATAGGCTGGTAGGCGTTGAGGGATGCTAAATTCTTTCCTGCTCCTTGCGGTGGGGGGAGGGGGGGGCGGCTTTTGGGGGTGGGATTTCTGTACAGGGTTGTCGAAACTGGGGCATTCTGCACGCATTCTGCACACGACTGTCGACTGCTCGCTGCGGGACATGATTGCTTGAGCGTGGACGCACCGCCTTCCATTGTGCGCCGAGCCGTGGCCCGAATCCCAGCTTGCCCGGGCTCGTCCAAGACATGGACAAAGCATTACTCTTCGCGGATCTTGGCCAAGAGGCTGGACTAATCAACTTTGCGGAGGTGCCACTGGATGATTCTGCATGGAAGAGCACCAGCCTCCGGGAGCGCCTGAGGATCACAAGCTTAAAGGTTCTGCGAGATAATGCCTTTTTGCCAGTGCCAGCTGTGATTAGCACATATGTTCCCATCGGCCTTATTTGGTGGTTCGGCTTCCAGTGTCTCTTCATGGACACTTCGATTTCGCTTCTGACCGAGCTTAACATGAAGAAGTTTTTGATATATCAAATTCTTCATGGCCTTCTGGGCCTTGGAGCGACCTCTTCCTTACTGGGCTTCCGTTTCAAGTGGCACCTGGGTGGTACCGGCATCCACTTCCTGATGCCGGGAACGCTCTGCTCGCCGCTCCTCCCAAAGCTGGCGCAGCTTCTGAACCTCGGCCAGGGAGCCCCCCGGCAGATGGAGCCGAAGGGAGGGGAGGGGGGCCCGGGGATAATAGTATCAATCATCATAGCAATAATAGGAATAAAAATCTATTAATGATCATAAGAGTAATCATAATATAATAAACCCTAAAACCCGGTAGGGGTGGAGGGGGGATCTCGGGTTCTACACTCAGACTCAGGTGCCCGGGCAGCGCTCCTGGCTGGCCGTGCTGAGCTTCGCGGTCTACGTGGCTTTGCTTCTCCGGGCGCTGCTGGCATCGGAGCTGGGAGTCTCGGAGCTGCTGCCCATCTATCTCGCGCTTCTGCTCTGCACCATCTTCGACTTTACCATCTACCTTGCGAGTCGGGGGGAGCACTACGTCTACATGTTGCTTTGCCTCCTCTTCCCGGATTGGCGCAGTGGCATGCAGTGTGTTCAGCTGGCACTCTGGTCCTGGGCGGGCGTCTCCAAAATGGGTCCTTGGTTCCAGTACGTGCTGCCTTTCATCACGAAGGATTCTGCAGTTGCAAACCTCCTTCCCCGAGAATTCCTGGCCAAGATCCTCCTCGCTGACTATCCAAGAGATGTGAACCCAAGCAGATTCACGACCGTGTTGGCATGGAGTGGAGCATTCTTGGAAATTATCTTCCCTGCCCTCTGCAGTTGCTCTGTCCCCCTGCGATATGTCGGTGGCTACGGGATGATCTGTTATCATGCCTTCATCGGGCTGTGCATGCCCTTTGCATCAGTTTTTGAGTGGAACTTCTTCTGCATGATCTTGGCATACTACCTCTTTGTCATGAACCAGCCGCTCGGCTCACGCAGGGTTCACGGCCACCCCCGCAATGGCCAACATTCAGCAACCTACTGGTACGTGGAGTCTCTCGAGTCTGGTTGTGAATAAGGTGCACGCAAGTCTATCCTTGAGAGCTTGCACCTGATGGGCCAAGGTTCTCGCTGCCGTCCTCTCTGTTTCTACAGGTCTTCCTGACACTGGTTCTTGTCGTCATCCCTGTGGTGGGGCCGCTTGTCGCAGACATCAGAAGTTGTTTTGGGCTGTGCTTGAGGCCGAGAGGGTTCAGGACCGAGCATCAACCATTTAGGTCCAAAAGTCGCTTAGGTATCGAAGTATACGTAGATTCGTGGAGGTGGTCAGCCAGCCTTCAGAGCCAAAGATCTCAGAAGTGTGCATTGTCATTGAAAAGCCAGGCATTACTGATACCAGGGGCTTTTGAAGCACTTCTTTCGAACCAGTTCTCGGACAACACAGGCAGTTGTACCCAAAGCTGGTGCCGTTCCTCCTTGCGTACCGCCCGTATGCTGGCAACTGGAGATTCCAGTGGTGCCCTGTCGTGAGTTCGGGACCGACTGCCAGGATTAGCGCAGCGGCGTAATGGATATCCCGAAATAGGTTGTGGTCGCTTGGACAGGTATATTCTCCACAAGACTGCCCTGCCCAAGCACCAGAAGTTGAAGACCATGGAAGACCCCTTCACAGGCAACAACCTCGGCTGGATGTACAAGACCCTTTTCGGAAAGTGGGGAGTCTCAGCAAAATTTCTGTGTTTTTGGGCTGTTGAGACAGAGTCTAGAAAGTCCAGTATTCCCATGCTCAGGAGAAGCCAGCAAAAGTGCCATCGAACGATGGGATTGGTTTCTAACTGCCAGCATTATCTACGTCCCGGCTTACCGGCCATTGGTCTCGATCCTGGACGCTTGGCTTTGCAACCGCAACTCGATGTAACTCTTCCCGAGCCTTGCCATGACTACGATCGAAGGAGAAGCTGTGCGAAGAGAACAAATGGGACATAGATGATGTGCCTTCGACGCAGATGGGGCTGCGGCCAGAAAGCGGAGCCTTGAGTGTTCTAATTGCCAGTTCCATGTCGTGTGCGATGTCATCGTATAAGGGCTGGTGCAGCAGCTGTCAACTTGGGTTTCTTGCATTTCCGCAAGTGATGTGTTTAGATACATACATGCATATGCTGCATAGTAAGCGGATGGTAATCTGGTGTACTTCGCGCACGTTTATGATATGTAGGCAAACACGTACATACATACGCAAGTAGATGCACTGACATGAGTAGCGTAAATATGTATCTCCTGTGGGAGAGAACTTAGAGAACAATCTATACGTACCCGTCTACCCACTCAATCTCTCTACGTATGTAACTATCTCTACTGCTTACAGACGCGCACACACACACACTTGATAAGAGAATCAGGTCAGAGTTCAAATGAACATCGACCGATTCCTATCACTGCGCTCTTAGGGAGCACAAAGCCAGTAGGCACTGAATCATGACCAAGATGCGACCACTTTTGAGATGCAAGTTCGAGCAACATGTGAAGCAGTGTAATGCACACAACTTTCAAGCGATGATATACCCACCAGCTGTCGCCCCGCGACCCAAGTGCGGTATGACATGCGCTGTTTTCTTGGGTTTTCGGCCTTTGCCGGAGGGGGTTAGGCCTCGTCAGTGGAGACCCCCTCGGAAATTTTCTCCAGAACCCCAGCCGCTAGATTACTCAGCGACCGTGCGGAACTGTTGGGAACAGGGGCGGACACACACACGAAGCCAAGCATGCAAGCAAGAGCACGTACTTTAGCGGAACATGTGGCATGAACATCACGAGCATGTGCCACTGTGTACAGCGGACTTTGATCAGATGGGAAGCCCATTGTGGGTGAAGAACTCATACAAATCGTCAGCTTGTTGCTCCGACCAGTATGGGGTAGGCAGACTTCAAGAACTCTTCAAGGTCATGCTCAACCAACTTATTTCTTGATCAACCAGTGCAGTTAAGAATCACCCAAAACCTAGCCAAGCATCACCTACGACCTGGCCAAGAGTCACCTTCTGACCAAGGAGCCTTTGCGACCGAGGTGCAAGCCAAGGAACACCTGGAGCCTAGCCAAGCATCACCTGGAGCCTAGCCAAGCATCACCTTGAACCTAGCCAAGCAGCACCTAGAGCCTGAACTATTACTCTTGGCATTGCGTCTCGAAGATTTCGACTACATCATGGCGGCAAGAAAGTTACAGTGGTAAGGACAGGGGCGTCGCAAATCTTACATA